TAGGGGCAGTTTAGGGTTTAGGGGTTCAACTAGTACCCCCCTCTATACTACCCTGCCCTAGGTTCCCCCTTAATTAACCTTAATTAAGCCTAATTAGCCCTAAATAACTTTAACTAAGGGGGGAATTTAGCGGGGGTAGTATAGAGGGGGGTACTAGTTGAACCCATAATAAACCCATCTAAACCAGCCTCAGAACCCCACTATAAAAGGTATAATTCTTTGTTGTTACTCGGATTAGAACGGCCAAAAATTAAACATCATTTTGGAGGCCCCTATGGCCACAGCCAGGGAATGCTTTGAAGGCGGGTCAGTCTCATTAGTCGAAATCCCTTCTTGGAATCCCTTTTGTTCGTGCTGGTTTTTAGAATTTCAGGATCACATTTGTGCATCTTGACCCCTGGCTTTCCGACTGCTAGTAGGGACTGGAGGACTACAGTAGCCCCCGATGCTACGGTAGATTTCATGTCCTATCCATTCCTTCATTCCACCAGACTCGGGGTTTAGCATTTAGGGCTTACGGTAGCTAGGGTGCTCCTAAAGTGGCCGAAAGCTTCTAGTAGAGCGTGGCGCAAATTAATACGGAGCCGTGGCTTCCTAACTTGCGACCATCCCCTACATGAGCTAAAGAGTCTAAACGCCATGTATCCCCCTTAATAGCCCCTGTAATCTTTCCCCTCTCATCATCCCCCATATAATAACCCCCTTTAAAGAGTTTAGGGTGTAGCCTACATGAGTACTACAATGTGTCCGCAAAACAAGCCCAAGATACCGGAATCCTTACAACCCCCCCTCCAAAGAAAAAGGACTATATCCCTTCGTAACCTGCATAACAACAATATGAACGCTTTACCTGGCTCTCCCCTGCCTAAACCCTAAACTCTAAGCCCTAAATCCTAAAACCCTAATCTCTAAACCCTAAATCCTACACCCCAACCCCTAAACCCGAAACTGCGCCCCCTAAAGAATAGCATGCCGGAGCTTGTGCCAAGCGTCCCTTGGGATCTTCTCCATCCTGGGCTGCCAAGTCATCAGGCAAGAAATGTGGGAATTTAGTGACTTAAAGCGAGAAATGTGGGAATTTAGGAATTTAAAGCGACACATGTGGGAAGTTAGGTGTTTCAGGCGAGAAATGTGGGAATTTCGGGATTTAAGTGGTTCAGGGTTCAGGTCTTCGGGATTCAGCATTTAGGTTAGGTCCTTCCCCCTTACAAGAACAGTTTCTACAAGAGATAGCAAGAGCTTCCCTTGAAACAACCCCTTGAAGGACAGTTACTGTACTGCGAGCGGGAATGACCCAAAGTGTAGGGTTTAGGCGGTTTAGGGTTTAGGGTTTAGGCCTTGATCTATCTCCTTTTCATATTAGGTTTAGGCTGTATAGGGCGTAGGGAATCAACGTGCAGATTTTTCCCAACAATTTCATGCAGATCGGAGCGGATAGGCCCCACTAGTGCGAAACAAGTGACAGCGAACGGCAAGTTCACTCCCTGTTCTGGACCCTATACCTACTACAACCCTCCTAAACCCTAAACCCCAAACCCCCATGTCTATAAACAATGCCTACATTGGGCCCTGAAGTCTACAAATCCTACCTACATTGGACTATCTAAGAGCCTTGGGTAATGATTTCGTGGCTGACACTGTGTAGGTGGAGCCTCGATTTCTGGGAACCCTGCGATACCCCCGGAGCCAAGCCCCGAACTGAAGGAAAACATGCACCTCTTACCCAAGAAACCCTACCCAAACCCACTACGTCTAAATCTCCTAACTCGTTTGCATCCAGCCTGCGAAGCCTCTGCTGCTAAACCGGATCGAGGGCCGCTTGCTCTGAGCACAAGTACTCGCATCAAACGAGGGTAGGATTTAGGGTTTAGGGTTGGGGGTTTAGGGTATCCAAATTCCTATGTTGAACTGCCTTACCCAAAGAGACCAACGTACCCGTGTAATTATGGAGTACTTACCCAAGCCATGAGTATCGCTATGCAGGTGCTGCGCATCCTTTGGGTTAGCCAGCTCCAGAACCCAAGTCTGTTTAGGGTTTAGGGCTAAGTCTTATGGATTCCCCTTTCAAACACCATCTGTACTACAACCCAGGTTCTTCGTTAATGTACGTACCTTGAATAGCCTCAATTACACCCTTAGCCCTGAATCTTAAATCCTAAACTCTGAACCAAAGGTCGACTTAAGTTTGGTGGTTCCCCTTTGGGATTGTACAGGGGTCTGCTTTCCCCATGTAAGGTAATTAGCTGTCGTTTTATGAGTTCACTCTGCATATAAGTGAGTATCCGTAACACGAGAACCGCACACCACAGGCAAGCTATCAGCTTTGACAAGAACCAAACAGCCTGAACTCCAAACGCTTACGCGGCTAGCCCGTACGAAAGCGCGTAACAACATGGACCATGCGAGCTTCCAAAGACTGAACATGGGGGAGTTTCTCAAAGTGATCCCTATACGATCCCAGATAAGGACCCCCATTCTCCCCATGCAACGGCCCCTCCCCCCTTAAGCCTAAACCCTGTTTAGAAACCCCCAAGTATGGTCCCTATGGCATCCCCTTTTTGATAGCCCCCCAAGTGAGTAATGTTTTTTTGGTGGTTAAACCCAGTAAGATAATATTCCCCATATAAAATACTATACCCTGAAAGGAGGATAGAATCTTACTCCATATTGGGCACCATAGTATCCCCAAATAAGAATTCTAGATCTATACTATAATATAACCCCCTATATAATCCCAGCTTCCATTTCATTTTCCAATATCTTTTCCATTTGATTCTCCATTATTGGGTACCATAGTATCCCCAAATAAAGCCCCAAACCCTAAACCCTAAATATATTGGGCACTATAAACCTTAAACCCTGAAACCCTAAACCCCCCAAGTAGGATCCCAGATTCTGGTTTCGGACTTCGACTCCGCCTGGGGCTTCCCCGAGGAGCGCTCCGACTTCGACTGCGCCGCCCGGCATCGCGAGCGTCACGAAGACCTCCCCGTGTCCCTCTGATGCACGGAGTACAGACTATGGATATGTATCTCTATATATATACACACATATACATATACATATACATATACATATGTTAATATGTATGGACATAGGGTTTAGGGTCTAGGACGATGAACATACTCGTTTAGAAGGAGACTCTGGAATAAAGTTGTGAGGGGCAACTATAAGTATATCTGAACCTACGAATCTGAATATTACCCTACTGTTTATACATTCCCTTATACAGTTCCTTCATCATATCTTAACCCCTGAAAATTACCCTGATATAGCCTTTCAGCGGGCCATGAATTCCCTTGCCTTGGCTTCGGCTGCAGCGCCTTCGGCTGTTGCTGCGGCTGCGCCTCGGAGGGCTGCGCCTAGGAGGGCTGGACCTGCGCGGGCTCGGACGCCTTGGGCTCCGCCTTGGACTGCTCCTTCGAGGGCTGGCTCGTCTGGGCGGGCTACGCCTGGGGCTTCGTCGTGGACTCGCGCGCGGGCTGCGGCTGCGGCTGGACCGCCGACGCGCGCCTAGACTTCTCGGCCGGCTGTAGCGACGGCTGGTGCTTCGGCGTCGAGGGCTGCGCCTCGGAGGACTTCTTCTCTGAGGGCTTCTCCTTGGAGGGCTTCTCCTCGGGCTACCTCTTCTAGGGCTTCCTCGCGGGCTGCCACGGCTCCTGCTGCGCCTGGCACAGGAGAGTTGGGACGTGCACTGCGAAAACCATTTGCAGATTTGAGGTGCGAGGCTGAAGTGCCGATAAAGAATCTACTTTGATTGCAGTGAGCTCCAAACCTCATGTCGCAACATCGCTTATGTGCCTCCGAGAAGAAGATCGCCCGACCATCTGGGCTCCAAGTACTTTGACTACAGACGGTTATGGCTCTAGGTCAGTGAAAGTGGGCTGTGGGTTGGGCTGCGGAGTGTGGCACATCATATAGACAAGAATAAGAAAGGGCCTTGAACGTGCAACCTCCAGACAGCAGACGGCAACCAGAATAAATGGAATCAGAAGTTGCCAGTAGCCAGTGTGGATCCTTAGAGATTGTAGAGAGTCTCACCTATATGCCGGAGTACATGCTGTCCCTATTGAATACAACTTCATATCATTTGCACACACGCATGCACTCGGTCAGGTCTGCGTCTGGGCTCTTTGGGCCAAGCTTGAACCAAAGAAGCCGGCTGAGCATAGCAGCAATGAAGACACGTCAAGAATGACTGTTTGCAGCTGGCACTTGTGGACTTGGCATAGAGTTTGCGAAGTTGCTTTGGCACATAAGCTTGCCAACTAACTTCCATGTATATATATATATATACATATATGGGGCCCCAACTCGCCAAAAAGGGTGGAAACTCTGAATCCTACATGTACATATATCCCTATATCCCCTTGAAAGGACCCCTACATTCGGAGCCTCTCGTTTTCGTCACATGAGCAAGCTCCTCAGCTGACTGAGGCTTCGCTGATTGCAAGGCTCCTCGGGCAAGGCTGTAACCCGAAACTCCAAACCGTGTGGTAACACCATGAGCTCACTCAAACAGGCCTCCACTCGACATTCACACGCATGTCTGGCATGCTCGGTACAGGTCACTTCTTGCAGGATGTTGTTTCTGCTTGATATGTATCATACCAACAGTACTAGTAATAGTAGTAATACTAATACTAATAGCATCAAATATAACAAGAATATGAACAGTAATCATAGAAATGCTAATAGTAATAATACTAGAAATAATCTACTAATGATAATATTAGTAGTACTAATGACAATCGTATGACATACTCTTGCCGGAGCCCCACGGGCCCAAACAAGCGCAAAGGGGTTTGTCATCGTACAGGCAGGGGCTGTTGAAATATGACAGGGGCGAACTAGTGCACATATAATATAATATAATATAACATAATGTAATATACAAACAATAATTCACTCTAATATGCGTTAATATACTCTAATAAACAATAACATAATACATTATAGTGAAATTATAGCCTGCATCAGCCCAACCCGCTCCAGCTCCATCAATGCCTTGCGCAAGTCCACTGGTAATGGACATCTGACATTGAAACTGCCATTTCCGACCTTAGGAAACATTGAGGACTGGGTTGGCCCCCAAAGCGCTTTGAAAAATATTAGTATATAGGGTCCCGTATTAAAGCCATTAGGGAAAATATGAAATATTTCAGGGGCCTACCCAGATTGAGGATGTAGCAAGCAGGGTGCGCTCGGCCACTTGCAAGACCCTCATTTCGGACTGCAAAAAGCACACGCCAGCCCCAAGGGGTGACAAATCACAATTTACAAAATATGGTAAGACTAGACTCTTGTATACGATCATCTACTGGAGTATACTATAAATGAGAATACCTGTTATTTCAAGGGAACCTATGGCATGCCTGCATGTAAGGCCTGAACGTCTAGACAGACGCGTGACGCGTGAAGAAAGGTGCGAGGGCACCTGCTTCTGATGTTTAGGGTTTAGGGCTCAGCGTTTAGGGTTGCGAATGCTGTGAGCAAGCAACTGGCGCAACGTCCCATCAACAAGCCATAGGTACCACACAGGGATTCTATAGGGGGATTAGATAGGAGGGCAGGACTTGAGGCTCTGGGGTATAGTATGGCACTTAGGATCTTGCACCATAGTAGCAAAAGGAATAGCAGGAGGTCTAACAAACATTCTTAAAAGTATAGGAGTGAATGATTACCAATCATATGGAATTTCCCAAAATCAGGGATACCTGTTGGGGGTCTATGTTGGGGTGCGCCTATTCGGAGAAAATACCACATCACTGTGAGGACTATTAGAGGTCCCTCCTACTATGCCTTTGCAAAGAATCTAGAAATGATCAGGCTTTTGCGTTACTTATGCTTGGTTGGGAATGGGACAGACGGGTTGTCAGGACATGATGGACACAACAACTGTACAAGCATGAATATGTTGTCGGGCCCTCGTCACGCATCCTTGTAGTACAGTACATCCACCACAACCTTTGCATTTGGCCGATGTTTTTCACATCTCAGTTGGACACCTTGCATATACACCCACCAGGATTCCAAACGGATCTCCGCATACACTCATTAAATTCCATACAACAACAGCCTACCTAACTTACAGCAACTAGCCCGAGCAAATGCCCATGTTGGCAAACTTGAAGACCTGGGTAGTCATCTTACAGCATGAGCGCTAGCTGTAAGAACTGTGAGAAAGAGACTGTCGGATATCGGCTGGTTATGACGAGCTTGTGGGGGTTCAGGTAGTAAGCATGCTTACTCTGAAGGCCCTCAAATTACGACTACTAAATACGCCCCGCTTTCATTTCATCTTCCGTTTTCTCCTGCCCACTACTCTAAGGTCTTCGGGCGCTAATCTCGCAACTCTTCACGCCACTACATGCCTGTCCGTCCGTATACTTCCTTGTAGAACCCAAAAAGGGACCCCCATTCTAATCATGACTTGGGCCCCTACAGTACATGCTTCCCTCTGCATACAGGTCCTGGTAAGCGAGGGGCCTCTGTTCTGGCTCTCAAGATACTACAGGGGGCAATACAAATCTTGCACGACTCGAAGTACCTTGTATATACTTTGGGAATTATGGCATTATAGTATACTAGCAGTAGGGAGATTTTGGCAACACCGACCCCCAAAATGTGGACCCTATGACTATCAGATAATTGTGATAGGACCCTCATCAGGAGGTGATATGCGTACACCCAAACGCGGCACCAGTTCGGCGATCGCCCGCCGTACTTCACGTCACCAACCTAAGTTGAATGCAGCATGTGATGGCTTGGACGTCCGTGGGTACTTGTAACCTACTTACAACCTGTTTATAACCGCGCGCATAGCCCCAGGGCCCCTAGCACCTTCTTAGAGGACTTAATTCGGGGGCGTGTCATAAGTAAACTACAATTTACTAGGCCCGCGGTCCCTGTACACATATGTGTATATGTATATATACATCTATATATACAAATAATATCCTCAGAAAAATCCAGTTTCTACGTCATCCTCCATGTCCCTGTGTGCCCTCACGCCCAAACAAACCTTCAGCACTGGGAATACCAAACTCTTAGTGGACTTCTTCCCCCAAACCCTGAAACCTGAAACCCTAAACCCTAAACCCAAAACCCTAAAGGCTCCCTCAACCCTTCTCTTTTTTTGGAGCCGGCCCCAGAGGCCCTGAGTCCAATGATCTAGGGTTTAGGGTTGAATCCTGGGAAAAACATATTCAGCAGTCATGTTGGGAAAGCCCTAGAAACACCGAACCTCAAAACTATGAAGCTTTTGATTTTGGACTACTTCTACTGCGATACTTGCTATTGATCTTATTATTTTGGCTAGATTAGTTACTACTAGTGATTATCTCTTGTATCACTATAGTGTTATTCTCATCAATCCTTTTTGATATTAAGCTGTTCGAACTAAATAGGCTCCTACAGTACGTGGCTAAAACGTATAAGCACAATTTCCATGTCATGGCTAGTTTTAGACCCTCCGCTGTTCTAAGCACATCCGCCCCTACACCCCTAAACCCTGTATACCGCTACATACCTATCTATCCTTCTTTAAACCCCAAAATCCAGGCTGGGCTGCTAGGTACATCAAAAAAGAATTAGTTATGTAAGGGTTAGAAGGAAATCATATAAGAAATGCAAGCAAAGGGACCTTCAACCTTTAGAATGCTATAGTTCCCCCTGAAGTACAGAGAATATGGCTTTGGGTATATCATAAGAAGATCTCCATATACCCCCTATTCTATCTACTTAAGGGGGACTGTAGCTGTTAACTTGAGGATGGCCACCTTGCTAGGCCACATGGTTGAGGGCTGGTCTCTACTGACTACCGTCTAGAAGGGTTTTGCCCAAGTGCCATGCGAGCATGACACACAAAAGGTCTCTAGCACCCTTAGACTTATAATGAAAGTAATTAATATGTTCAATAATTCCATTGAGTCCCATGGAGTTATACTATGTACAAATCTCCCAGGAGAGTACAAAGGCGGGAGTTCCAAAAACCAGGGATTCCGATCTATGGCCAACATACCTTCTGGGACCCCCCCGAAAACGGACCCTTTGTATTTATGCGGGAAACCCAGGAGGTCCTGAGCGGAAGAGCATTCGATCACTGGAGCGCCTGATGCCTCTGAATATTTACCCAAGCCATGTGGAGGGTTGTCACAACAAGGATCCCTTTTTGGGGTTCCCCATTTTTGTCTAGGGGCCGTATTACACAAGGGCCCACAGAGGACCACAGTTTTGACCGCCCCTCACATCAGGCATCCGATTATTTGGGGGACATTCTTAAATAAGGCGTATTGAGCACCATGAGAAATTAGCAACGATTCCTGAAAAGGTGAGCATTCTTACTGGAATAATCTCTGGAAACCTAAGCTCCCAGACCTCGAGCTCTAGAACCCTGGACTGTCAAGGCCACCCTAAAACCTAAACCCCAAACCCTAAACCCTGAACCCCAAACCCTAATCCCTGAACCCTCAAATTCTGGAGCCCTAACCGTAAGTAGCTAAGGACCCGGGCTAACGGATGCCCTTGTTCGGCGAGATGTGCCCGGATCCTCGGATGATGGCAAAGAAGGGGTTTCCCAAAATTGGGGGTACCCTGTTTAAAGGGGTTTATAGGCGTTGTACAGGGATAAT